AGGAAATATGAATTTTCATAAACATTCGTGGTGAGGGGACTCCTATATAAAATGTCCCCCCCCCCCCAGAGAATCAGGATCGTTTTCCAATAGAAATTATTCGTACAGCTTATCAACCACTTATGATTCTCTATTTCATGGTGAAGCATTCAAACGGATACCCCTAATTTAGCATTTTCTTTAAATGTGAATTTATAGAAAAAAGGCCCAATGTTTTCAGGAGGAATTGTTTATAGACCTCACATGAAAAAGTCTCTTAACTCATGAGACCAATAATTTCATACATTACAAGATGTAATAAATTGACTTGGTCCTGAAGCTTACCACTTGACTGCTCGATTCATTGAGAAAATTTTCTATATTTTTGTTATGTGGCTTTGTCACGTTCAGATCGTTTATTTGGCTTTATATTGACCTCTAATATTACTCCTAAGAAATATCGAAAGCTGCCAAGTTTCCAAAACTTTCGTAAAACTTTCAGAGGTGACGGAGTTTGGAATAATGCTGTTAGAACAACAACTAGTTGTCACTTTAACATGTTGAACATCTTAGTCCTGTACGTGGCTTGACAACTTTGTTCACGAAATCGCAAGGGTCCTTTTACGACAGTCACAGAGATAGAGAATCTTCCAATTACCTCGTTCGCTCACTTGCCCGAGTTCCACGCACGAAAAAAAATCATAGGCAAACCTAGGTAATTCATTAGAGAATTCTACTGGATTTCTATTCAACATTGTATTAGTTTTTTGTCAAATAAAAATAGTCGATGAATATATTCAATAGAATTTGATTTTTCTGTAGAACTTATTTTATGGAATATTTTCTATGGAAATTACTCGTTTCAAATCCTGAGTTTTTTTGTTGAATTTCTTCTATGAAAAGAGAAGAAATATGGAGTAGAAAAAATTTAGAAAATTCAAATCGAGGAATCCCTACAAAAAATGTCTCAATACAAAAAGTTCTATCGAAAGATGAAAGTCTACTGATTTTGTCTAGAGAATAGTTTGTGTTGAACATCTTCTATTAAAAAATGCGCTGTAAAGCTGCTTCAATAATTTCTTTACTAGAATCCGCTAAAAACTCATAGAATTCAACAGGATTGCAGTAGAATTTTCTATCGAATTCACTACGTTTTTTTACGATTTTTTTTCGTGCGCGTTCTTTTAATTAATGTCGAATATGATATTGCATTCCGACTTTGAACGTTTATGCATTACTCGCTTGATTCTTTTAGTAATGAAGTGAAAAAACGTAATGAGTTGAATTTAAAAATGTTAAATAAAACGTTGTTTCGAGAATTAACCAATTCGAATGAACAAAAGTCGTAAAAATAACGTGGGAAAAATGAATATGCGTCATTTGAATTGCACTCGTTTGTTTACTTTTTTCTGCTTCCAAACGGAAGCATTGTAATCGTTCAAATTTAAGGTTTAGATTTTTTGTGTTATATCGACCCATTATGATCTAAAAAGCCTGAAAATGAAATTTTTAGACCATGTCCGTATGTATGAATGTATGTGTGTGGTAAAATTTTTGTTCAATTGTTCGCTACTGAATGTATGGAATTGAATTTTTTTTTAAATGAAGATATTGTTGAGCCCTATCGATCGCCATTAATTAAAATTTAATTCATCGATTAGTTTCTTCAATTTGTGAATTTTGTCGAAAATCGATTGTCCCACGATAAGCAGAAAAAATATTCTGAATTTATTGAACGATAGTTTAAAAAAAAAATTTGGATGTCCTTTTGACCGAGTTCAGAGATAAAGGCGATAACAACAATCGTTATTTTGATTTATTCCAAAATTCTCAAAAATTGTGTATTTTTTGAAAATCAGAATTCCGAGGATATTATTGAATATTATGCTTCAAATGAATTCAATCATAGCCTAAAATGTATGTTTTAATGCCTTTTAATGATTTTAGTTTTATGATGATTTTTGAAAATTGTGAATTCTACATGAATTTCCTTGAAAGTGAGCTTTCTGATGGTTTCTTCAAATGTGATGTCTCAAATTCATTCAAGTATGTGTAAATAAAATTTTTCTATTAACATGTTATTGAAGAGTGAGGGTAGAGCTAGAACTTTAAAAAACACAATCGGTTGTACGGAAGAGAAGGGATAATAAGAATAATGGGGCTATGATAACATTCAACTAAGTTGAAAATCTGACAAAGTTAGATAAACGGAAATTTTATTCCATTTAATAAAATGAAATAAACAATGAATTATACATGATAGAAGGAAATGATGTGCAGGATAACCATGCGGAAGCATATTGCTAATTTATTAGCATAAATAACTATACTTATGAAATACAAGAGCAATTTCCGACTTATTTAATCACGAGTTCATTGATTTTACACCGGGAAATTTAGGGAAATCTGAGAAATATTGAGTAAATCTCGAGGGAATGTATATATATCACGCAAGTTGCGAATAAAAAAAGTCAGGAAAAGAGACTAATTTATGAATGTCATCGTATTGCCAGCACTTTATATTTGATATTGAAGATACAAATCGATAAATGCACAGCTAAAAGTTTTCCGAAATTGAAGTAAGAGTTGAATATGACTTGTTAATCTTGTCAATTTGAATTTAATTTGAGATCAAATTTTTCACGCAATATTATGTTCACTTTGCGAAATTTTATAAAATTTCAACCACAGCTTCAATTTTCCAATTCATTGGGTAAAGTAAACAATAACTTGGATTAAAGTTCCAAACCATTCAGTATTCAGAACAATAATTACCCGCAATTAATTTTCGTAATTAATTGCGAGTTTAACCATCGTACCCTTATTGAAGAATTATCTAATTTATTAATAAGAACATTCATGGGAATTTCATGCTCAATTAGCTATTATTAAAAATTTCAAAATTTTATGCAATCAATGTAAAGAGTATTGTCGATTCTTTACTCGAATATTTCCAAAACAAAGACTAAATGGCTCCGATAGAAAAAGTCAGCCAGAATAATTGTAAAGTAGAAAGTATTTTATTTTATGAGATTTACTTTTATATTTTTCTCGCAAGAAACATAAACAAGTGGGAAATTGCTTTTGCATCAATAGACTATAATTTTTTTGTTAATAAATTAGCAATATACTTCCGAATGGTTATTTTAGACACCATATACTTTTAGATTATATAATTCATCGTTTTATAGCATTTTATGAAATTCAATGGAATGTTTTCGTTAATCAATTCTGTTATATTTTTAATTTAGTTTAATATTTTATGAGATTTCAAATATGAAATATATATATACTATCAATTTATTCGATGAAAGTAAAGTCAAAGTAGGTCATTTTAATGATAATGGAATCAATATTAACCTTTCGTTTTTCTTTATTCAAATAATCAGTGGAAGTAAATTTTCCAAAAGTTGGAAAATCAACAAACTTTTGAATGCTATGAGAATAATTTCCGCATTTCTTTCATTAAGAATGAAAGAATGATGCTATCTATATTATGGAATGAATTTGAAACATCATATTTGAAGAAACCATAAGAAAGTTCACTTTCAGAGTAATTTATGAAAAACTCAAAAGTTATCAAAATCCTCGTAAAAATCAACCCAGCGAATATTGGTATCATAACGATCATTCAACTTTAAAGAAGTAACTTTGAAACAAATATTATCAGCTATCATTGAATAAATTTAATACCATAATATCTAAAGAAATCTTCGGCATTGTAATTTTTATAAAATACTAAATTTTGCAAAATTATTGCACAAATCAACACAACGATTATAACTATCGCCTTCATCTTCGAATTCGGTTGAAGAGACATCCAAATAATTTTTCAAGCCATTCTTCAATGAATTCAGAAATTCATTTTTAAATTATGATGGGACACCCGATTTTTTTAAATTCAAAAATATAATATATGGATTAAATTTTAATTAATCTCGATGAATGGGGGTCAACAACACCTATATTTTTTAAAAATTATTCAATTCCATCGATTTATTAGCAAATAATTTAAGGGAAAGTTTGTCACATACATACAAACGAGAGGGTTTAAAAATGACATTCGGAGTTTTTGGATCATGATAGTTTGACATAACACAAAAAATCCGAAACTCAAATTTGAACGATTACAATGCTTCCATTCTTCCGGATTAGTGACCTCAAATTCTCAGTTCCACATAACTAGATCAGTAGTGTTGATTGCCTTATTAAGAAATTATTCACAAAATTTTGAAATAAAAAATTTATTTTCGAAAAACTCATGAATATTTCTCATGAATCCGGACTGTAGATGTTTGTATTGGGAGTCTAAAGTTTCAAAATACAAATCAGAGATCTTTCACAATAGGGTTCACACCTCAAACTAATCGCAAATAAGAGTTGTACTGAATCTGTTTTCAGTTTTTTTGCCCATGAAGTTGCCACATTATATCATTTGGATTTTTACTATTTTAAAAGTATTTTATAAAATCACCAGAATGTAAATAAATTTCGACGAAAACACTAGTTTTATTTCCAAATTCAAACTTGGATGTAAATCCATTCAATTTGACAAAACTTGGAAATTTAATAAATGAAAAAATGAATTAGGACCGGTTGCGTCAAACTCTCTTGGCTATTCAAATGATAGGGTCAAACTTATTCTGGTGTAAACTACATGTCCCAACAGGTCGTTAACTGCTGATTTAGTTAACTGAAGCTAATACAACTGGCTCATAATTGATTCGAAAAAAGTTAATAATCTGTTGAAACGAGAGAATAAAATCCTAGGTCAGGAACTATAATTTCTAATTTCAAATGTATACTAAAAGAATCACTACATCACTACGCCGAGTATAATTTGCAGAATTTTTGAATGAAGAATTCACTTTCAACGAAAGCTTTAACGAAACCAATTTTCACCCATAAATCCTTGTATCAAAAACTTGATTTAATTCAATTCTATTAGTTTCAAAAATGAATTGGAAAACCGATTAACGCGGTAAATGCAAAATTAATTAATTAAAATATTCAGAACTTACCAAAAAATCACAAGAATTGTAGCGAATTTGATTTCGAACGATAGAACCAGACGATACTCGTGCAAAGGACGATACCAAAGTGATGCTAGAAACGTACCCGCAGATGCTTTTATATAAAACTCCGCGACTTGGCGCCGCGTAGGTACGACCTCCTCTCCAACCCCTGAAATCCTCCCTCAACTAGCCAACGTCGTCCAATCACCAGTCGACCTATGCTCCCACACGTCGTCGCCCCTCACCCGTCGTGTTTATTCGAAACCACCGCCGCTAGCATTCACGTAAATCCGCACTTTTTACCCCTCAAATATTCTTCAACACAACTCAACTCTCCTTAAATACAACTACGCGCCACAGGTGCTCGGCCCATTTTTCCCTTACTCATCATTTTCAGCCCCCTGAACTCCTCTTTCCATTCAAACCTTAGTATAGGTTCACTTAAATAATTCATTGAAAAAATTCATCATTCATTTTTTTTTCATTCATCGCAGTATTTTCTCTAACAGAATGAATAATTTGGAAATCGTACCAACTGAGGGAAAGTTTTTGTGAATCTTTCATTTCTGACAATATTTCTATATTGTATGGCCCTTGCACAAAAATGAAATTGTCAAAAAAATTCATTGCCAGCACCATAAAAAATACTGTGCACTCAAGGAAAAATTATGGTGCTGCATGATCAAATCTTCGAAAAAACCCCATCAATGCTAGGTAAAGCAATAATAAGAATGGGTTTGGGCTCGTTCTTTGTTGGTTTTAACTATGTTATTTCTTTCGATAGGCGTATAATTTTCCGAAATTTATGCTTCATTTTTGGAGCATAAACACTCCCGAGTCGAAATTTTACCGGGTTTCCCAACGTAGTTTCAAGATCCACTGGTGGGTTTAGGACGTTGAAAATATGTTGTCCAGTGTACAGGCTCAAATGCACTGATTCAACCTACTTTCGACGTAAATACCGTCTCTTTTTTCCATTTTTTCCAGATTGTACGTTAAAATTAAGTTGAAACTAAACGTATCCCCAACGTTCCTCCACCGTACATTCTTTCCTTCCTTCCCCCCCCCCTTCCCTCTTCACACTACCAGTTCCATTCTAACATCGATTAATTGATTAAATCTTGCATAAATTAATCGGTGGAAGAATGGCAAAAATATAAATATTATTAACTCGGTGAAACAAAAATAGAGAAAAACGGATCGGTCCATTGGTTCTCGAGATATTCCTGCTTGTAGTTCTACCGTGTTCCCTTTCGGTCGCCCATCCTTTTTCTGGTTTTACTCGCTACTGCTCAAGCTCAGTCATTGGAGGATGTCCCGGTATGCTTCTGAGCCGTACAGTTGACTTGACTTGACTTGACTTGAATAATATTTATTGTCTTCAATAATTTATACAGTTATATACAGTATATACAATATTAAACCTACAATCTAGATCACCAGCCTAAGGCTATACATCTAATCCAAGTGATGAGTTATTGATTTTCAATTGCATTTATTGATTTTGAGGAACATAGAAAAATACGAATAAGGAAAAATCACTTCTAAAAAACTTTACAAACGAGGATTTGAGTGGCGGGGGGGGGAGGGGGATAGGGAGGANGGGGGGGGGGGGGGGGGGGGGAGGGGGATAGGGAGGAAATTGGGAATAAGGGAAAGGAGGGTTATAACATAGGTTATAACAGGTCTGATGATACCTTTGTATAAGGTTAATTTGAGTTTTAGGCTACGATCCGTAGATTTAAGTAGATTGTAAAGTCTGATAAGAATTACTTTAGCTTTGGCGTTCATTGCTCCTATATGATTTTTCCATATTAGCTTGGAATGTATTTGTAAGCCTAAGTATTTTACAGACCCTGGTGATCCAGGAGCCACGGTATTTGCGTGGCTGTTGCGTGGCTAATAGGATTGTCATTTTCTGGAGCTAAAAAGGGGGAAATGATATTTGAAAACACAATAAACGTGGATAGACGAATTATTAGTTTATATTTGCACTGTTTATAACATTGTTTTCTATCAATTGATTGAAATTAATGTGAGTGTATATAATGATAAAACAAGACTCGTAGGGGGAATGCCGGGAGATGGCGGCAGTGTCGATATCCCAACGGGGTCGGTCAAGTTGAGAGGATCCCAACAGAGGTGGGGCGCCACGGTCGATTCTAACGGCTGGGCGAGCTGCCTGTGCCGGTAACTCGGCAGTAGGGCCAGAAGAAGAATATCGATGGATTTTTCGAGTGGGGGACAAGCATATGAGTGGGAATTACGTAGAGTGGGGGTATCCTGGGCAGGGAAAACATCTGCTAGAAGCCCTATAGCAGTCCCGCTGTCACAGGGGTAGGTTCGAAGGGGGGTTTGTGTCCTCCTTGTCCTCAATGTTTACTTTATGTTTTTCCGTTGATTCATTCGCCCGCTAATTAATATTAAGGGATGAGACGAGGACTTTTCGATGGAGAATTAGATTCCCCATCTATCAACCCCCGTTTCATCCCTTAATCTTTGTTATAAAAAAATTAAAACTGCGACGAAAGTCACGGTGCTATGAGAAACCCAATGGTTTCTCGGCGCAGAGTGCCACCCCAATAATTCGCCCGCCAATTAAAAAATCGTCTCTCCCCTCCTAATTAACATTAAGGAATGAAACCAACGCTGTTCGATGGAGAATTAAATTCCCCATCCAGCAACCCCCGTTTGATCCCTTAATCTCTGTAATAGAAAATTAAAAACTGCGACGCAATTTACGGCGCTATGAAAAACTTAATGGATAACTCGCCCGCCAATTAAAAAATCGTCTCTCCCCTCCTAATTAATATTAAGGAATGAAACCAATTCTGTTCGATGGAGAATTAAATTCCCCGTACAGCAACCCCCGTTTCATCCCTTAATCTCTGTAATAAAAAAATAAAAACAGCGACGAAAGTCACGGCAAAAATATATTTATTCCGCTCAAAAATATCGAAATAACTTCGTCTAATAATATAAGATACGTGGAGTCAACGTATAGTTTGATCTAAATAGATAAATAATTTGTCGCCTCAAAATCTGTTTCTTTTCACGTACACAAGTCAAGCGGAAAAGAAGTACACTATTCCGCTGATTACAAAAAAGCTTCGTAAAAGGTTTCGAAATTTTCTGTGAATCAGAGGTTTGATCTGCTCAAACTTATCCGTTTGTGACCTTAGAACTGGACTTTGATTTCTCACTCAATCACTATCAATGGCGGAGAAACAAATGAGTAATATTGGAAATAATAGAGAAAGTCGCAGTAGAGATTATACAGTCGTATTTTTGCTGAAAGAATGTTTTTTCTGTCAGCTCAAACTTTTGCTTCAGGGAAAATTTTTTGGTTTGCAGTCAAACAGATTATTATCATGATATTTGAATCTTGTTATTCTACTCGAAAGAATATGTATTCATATGCCCCTGTCAGATTTTCAAGTGGAAAGAATAAATTTTTTGCTGCAGAATATTTTCTCGTGGGGAATAATAATCTTGAGACCAGAAAATTTTGTACAGGTGAACATTTATCTTTTTGACACTGCTGCTACGTTCACCTCGTGTCAAAAAGTGCCTTTTCGTTTACTCGTAAACGAAAAGTCTTTTCGTTTACTAGTAAACGAAAAAAGGCACAGTTCGCCACTCGCTGAACGTAACATCACTGTCAAAAACTATTGTTCGACACATGTGAGACAGGAATTTTCAGCTCGTGTGATTGGCAGCCCTCGGCTTCGCCTCGGGCCGCCAACTTCACACTCGTGAAAATTCTGTCTCACTCGTATCGAAATATACTATTTCGGCAGAGGTAATTTTTTCTCTCAGTGAATGAAAAACCTAATAATCTCTCGGCGCAGTGACTCCCGATAACTCGCCCGCTAATTAAAAAATCGTCTCTCCCCGCCTAATTAACATTAAGGAATGAAACCAATGCTGTTCGATGGAGAATTAAATTCCCCATCCATCAACCCCCGTTTCATCCCTTAATCTCTGTAATCAAAAAATAAAAACTGCGACGAAAGTCGCGGTGCTATGAGAAACCCAATGGTTTCTCAGCTCAGAGTGACATCCCAATAATTCGCCCGTTAATTGAAAAATCGTCTCTCCCTTCCTATTTAACATTCAGAAATGAAACCAATGCTGTTCGATGAAGAATTAAATTCCCCATCCAGCAACCTCCGTCGCATCCCTTAATCTTGTAATAAAAAAATTGAAACTGCGACGAAAGTCACGGCGCTATGAGAAACCCAATGGTTTCTCGGCGCAGAGTGCCACCCCAATAATTCGCCCGCTAATTAAAAAATCGTCTCTCCCCTCCTAATTAACATTAAGGAATGAAACCAATGCTGTTCGATGGAGAATTAAATTCCCCATCCAGCAACCCCCGTTTCATCCCTTAATCTCTCTAATAAAAAAATAAAAACTGCGACGAAAGTCACTGCGCAATGAAAAACCTTATGGTCTCTCGGCGCAGTGACTCCCGATAACTC